CTTCTCTGGACTCTGTAATACCGCTAGTCTTCATCAAAATCCGTAATTACGGGATACAAGAAGCAATACTCCGTACTCTGTAAGGAGTATCACCATCTCAGGACAATCTTTGCTCGGACCCTCTGCTAGTTCTTAAGCATGGCAGGGCTCCGCATGTGGTACCACGGTGAGGGTGACGTTGCAGCACTTGATAGAAGTCCTCTCCAGGATCGCGAGATAGTGCATCGAAGAGACGAGATGGCGGGCGGGTTCTAGCAGTGAACCGGTTGGGTAAATGGGGAATGGATCTGAATCAACATGGACGGCCCGGATGACCCTGGTAGCCTGGCTCAACAAGTCTCCCTGTTGGTCGACCCTTGTCCAGCTGGGTACAGTTTCCGCAAATGGTAACCGAAGAGTTTGTGTTGGTGGTTGAACGAATGAAAGGGGTTCTAATAATTGTGCATGTTGTATTAGAGCCTCTTCGTCTCTGATGAATGGCCTCTAGGAATGGATAACTTGGTGGTGTGCTTTGCTTTGCTTTGCTTCGCTTCGACTTTAACTTTGAACTTAACTAATGCAGGCACAGACGGGATGTTAGAAGTGGTCACATGATTCTCGTCTCTTATTCGAGATTACCATCAAGCTCCTTCCCTTTCGTCGGACTACGTGAGGTTCTTTTGTTCCTCTTGGCTTTGTCATTGGAAGGTGCTTAACACTGGCCTTACTGAAGGTCCTTAAAAGCAGTCTCTGATTTCCTAGCTGGGCAGGAGACAGTGGAGGTGCACTTTCTCTCCCAAAGTTCTCCAACCTATCAGATGCAAGACCTCTGTGTGCTCCGTGCTTTCCTGCCCGTGGTCCGGCTTCTACTCCGTGGCCCGTCGCCCGTGCGGCCGTGCCCCGTGCTTCCTTCCCGTTGTAATAAGGTACAACTTGGCTTGGTTGCGTCTTAACGCTAATATCAAACTCAGCCATCACGTCCATTCAAAGACGAGAGCCTGAGCTTACACCTCCACTTCCACTCCTCATCCGCAATGAAACATGCAAAGTTTACAAAGATACAGATACCGCTTCAGCATCCAATCTCCTGTGTTAGACCCAACTCTTCAAGGTGAGGCTTTCAGGACTGATTCAAGCCCACAGAGTCAGAAATTATGTATCCCTGCAGACAGCTTGTCGAAGTTATGACGATCCGCGAGCCACTTCAACTGTGATCAAGGGCCTTAGCTCTCTCCGCTAGTCGAACCTTGGCGATGGCGTCTGTTGGCCTCAACAACCAAATCTATGGCTGCATCTCGGACAACTTCCCCTAGCTAGCACTCAGGCCAGGACCAGACGAAAAAAAACCACAAGCCAGGGGATCAAAGCGGGATCCAAGAAGCAGACTTCCACGTTCTCTGTCAACGGCCGACAGAGACCGAGCGTTGCCCACAGCGTCCGGAACCTGGAACCTTGTCGTTTGACGGGTTCTAAGCTTGATTCTAAAACGGGCAATCAAAATTTCTTCGCGTGTTCTCTTGAGGTTCCTTGAGTAACTAACTATTCTCAGAACGACGCCTGATAAGTGGATTTTAATCCTCTCTTCTTGGATTAGGCTCTCCAACGTTCCACAACTTGCTAAGCATGGGCAAACACCAGCAACACTCTAAGCACATCGCAATTGTTCATTATACTGTGTTCTAGATCATCCCGATCAACCAGTTTCTCGTGTAACAGCTCCACAGATCCGACAGGTTGGCATTTTAAGTTTGTTGTCAAATGGGGCACATGGGTCTTTGCGAATATCATCGACATCGACCGGCTTTTGAACAAATGCTGTCGATGCATCAGCTTTCCCGCAACAGGTATGTAGCATCATCAACGGTTGAACATAACCGAGCTGGCGAATTGCGAGAAGATGATGACTCGTTCTCATTCAATTTTAATGCGTCCTATACTACACTATGCTGTCCAGTCCCGAAAACATTCCCGCCCGCCGCCTCAGGCCCATGATCTCTAGCTTCGGTCATAGCGAGAGCCAGTAACAACCACGGAATGAAGAATTTTCAGCTTCAAAGGGAAACCGAACTTGTGAACTCCAACTCCGGCTGATATCTCAATTGTAGGGGACTAATAAACGTGTTGACCAGTACAGATCTAGCTTTGATAGGCTGTTTATCCCCGTTTCGCCTACCAAGGTCATTTGTCTCTGACCAAATTGAATTTGATCGACAGCAATTTGACCTTATTTCCAAAAGTTAACAGTCTAGTCTACAGGGTTCACTACAGGCAGCTATTGAGTTAAAAGTCACAGGCTCTTGACTCATGTAAACTGTACACGCCCCCGACTTTACAATATGTTCTGATATCGGCAACCAATCAATGCCAGTACAGCTCTCAACCTCGTGCATCTGCTTCAATGTTGAGCTTCACGACATTAGCAATTTTGAAGAACCAACAACTCAACAACGTCACCCTGTCCATTTTCAAATTTTCAATAATACAGATTTTGGATAATCGTGGGAGCGTTCCACAACAGGCCCGTAACTTAGGTAAAGTGTACCAAATGGCAACACCACTGCATTCAAGGCCTCCATCTCAGAGCCACAAGCCCCCACGGTGAGCAAACCACGGCTCGAACCTGACTTCAGACAATTTAAGAGTTGACGCCGGTTCGCCACCAGCTTCAGCCAGTGAACCCAAAACTCATCACAGACCACCATCCCGAAAAGAGTGGGATGCCAAGCCTCGGACCGATGAATTGGGTCCTTTTTAACAGCATTTTTAGAATGCAAGTCCCCTGTGTCAGAGGAGGAGCTCATAAGGCTTCTACTGCAGGGAGTTGTCGTAGGGCCGACTTCAACGGCAACCCGATAATGTTCGGTCTCTCATGATCTGTGCGGGCAGAACTCGGAGCCAACAGACTACGTACCACCCAGTTGGAGGCTTGAATTGCAGTTCTGGCATTTTGCCTTGATAGATATTAGGGCACAGGAACTACGCAGGAACGTGCACTGAATCTTCTGTCAGTTACTCTCACAATATGATGTATTGTATTTGATGAGACATTAGACTAATGACAATGCAGCATCCATACTACGTGGTTCTCATCCGTAGAACAGTTTGTCCTTTTCTTGGACTGCGCCCATCAACTCTGTGATACTTCATGCGTCTCAGGCCCAGTACAAAAAGCAAAGCGTCTATCACTTCCCCAGTTTGCACGACCAGATCGTCCCGTCCCCTGATGCAAGATCCCAGCATATCGAGCTACAATCTATGATGACTGACTAGTGGCATCTACATAGCAAGGCATTCGCGATTCAGGACACGGTTAACGTTTTCCCAGATTACGCATGAAATCGTGACTGCTTATCTTGTAATATACTTATTCAACTCTTCTCACCGGGCGTCAGACATGGCTATGGCGCTCTGTCCGAAACGGTATGATAATAAAAGGGGAACGGGCTGAAACAGGGATGCATTTCGGCTCATGTTCAAAACCCGAGGACATGGATGACAGGGCAGCGCACGTCACTCCTTAGTGTTGGAAATGCTGTAGTACACTACCAACTACCAACTTGAAGTTGGCCGTGTTATGCACGACAGAAACTGCACGAGCGCTAACAGGTTCTGTGGTTATCGAAGTGTTCGAGAACGCTCCAAGGGACCGCATCGGTTCTTCCGATGGCAGGTTTTATGGCACTTGAATATTCGCCGCGTACCTGAGCCACTCCGCTTTCACTTCAAACTTATGCTGATAGGGGCCGTATTCCGAAATCTGACCCTGTCCGTCGGTATTAGCTCGACCTTTTTGGATGGGCGCCTCCGGCCGAAATGCCTTTGAAGCTCGCCATATCCGACCTTTGAGCCGTTTCCTCAGAATTTGTACAGGGAATGAACATGTTTGCGACTCACATGCTAGTAAAAGGCTAGCTTTGCTGGGTCTCCGGCAGTTGATTTTGCTGCGATACCTGGTTCACCAAAGACCAAGACACTATTGTTTGACACTGAACCCGTGCACACCAACGATGTTACTCTATCCATGACGACTTCCATGTCAACAAAAAAATCTCTGTTCACGATTTATTCCTTCTTTTGGAATTCCTTCTCTTTCGGCCGGACCGGGTGCGAAGCCACGCCTAGCATACGTTGCGTATACTGTATCTCCGACAGTTCAACGTTGCTTGCTGACGGGAGAAAAAAATAGTCAAAACTTTCAGGGTGTCATGATCGACATCGACTCCCGCGGGTACAACATCCGTCGCATTTCCACAAGGGGGAGCAAAATTTTGATATGATTAGAAATTCTCGACATGGTACATCCATGTATTGACAATAACTATCAACCCCTGAATGTTAACTCCGTTTGGGCACAGAATCAGTTGACTATATCGTGGTTATTTTGATATACTGGCCTAATGTGAATACAAGTTATAGATACACATAGCTGTCGGAGGAAGCTCGGTCAGTGGCAATTTCGAAGCACTGACTCCGTAGCAGTTCTAGTTTCCATATATATCCGAAGCTATCATGACTCGTCGTAGTTCCAATGGGTGTGAGAAATAGGTTGCCCCCGGGGAGTAAGCGAACCTCTGACGTTAAGCTCGCTGGTCTAAATGCCCATCGAGATATACTAAACTTGCCTAAGTCTTCTCGTCACTTAGGAAGTGAGGATATATGGCCCAAGTTTTCTTGCCTTCACTAGGTTAAGTAGGCATATCAGCTCTGTCCGTAATCTGAGTTGGCAACGATCTTTATTAGCAGTGTAGTGTCTTTTTGAGACATCGAATTACATGATGAGTCTGCTTCCTACCAGTAATAATAGAAGGGACAGGAGACCATCACTCACTTCATATCAAAGCCGTGATTCCGTAGTGATAGCAACAACAGAGGCTGAAATGCAGAGACAATTACTTAGTCTTCCTTGATATATGATAGTCATTATCTGTCATGTTCGAACCCGAATGCAAGATGCTAGGTTGCTCCAATGCTACACATAATCCAAATCCACATTACGACCTCATCCGGAGTCACATATGACATTATGGAAAGTCATCATCTTCCAGTCCTCCAACCCGTTTCTCACCGACCTCGCGAATCTTTTCTCCCAATATCGTCCTTCCATATCTCTCTGCTACTCTACCAGCAGCCTCCATCATGCGGCCTGTACGATCCCGCATCAGCTGTACCATCTCCAGCGCACGCATGCCTCGCTCTTCACCTTCACGACACTCAACCGCGAGAAGTTGCAGGAGAGTCTTGTCGATATCGAGTTCAAGACGTGAGAGCTGCGAGCGTAGTGTGTGGCTGCCTGATGTAGCCTCCATGAGATCTCGGAGCTGAGCTGCCTTCACATTATGAAGCATGAACTGCTGCTCGAGCTTGCGAGTTTCTGAAGAACCATCATCTTCATCGTCCTTATCTTCATCGCCATCGGCCATGTCAAGATCCTCAGATCCTTCCCGAGCTTTACGCTTCGAGGTTTTAGGTGCCGATGCTATAGGGATGGAGAAATCGAACTCAGACAGAAGTGGACGAGGGAAATAGGGGTACTGGTCACCACCCTTGAGAATGATGCAGTGGAACTTGTTATCGGCCACTGCAATAGGGAAGTAGGACTCGTTCTTGCGGCCTGATGCTAGACGTTCCATCAATTTTGTGTCTAAAAGGGGCACCCATGATGCCCTTGAAGGCTGTCGCCAGTGAAGAAGTGTAAGCAGAGTGCCTGTTGAGTCGTAGATACAGGGGTCCTAGATCATGGTCAGTCCGGTTCCTTCTAATCAGTCTTTTAGAGAAAACTTACGCCATTGTCCGAGAAGAAGACGCTCTTCAGTGTGGCGCCCTCGGGTAGTGCTACTGTATCCTCATTCTGGCAAATCTCATCTCTCTTGACATTTTCAATGGTGTACAGAAGGCGAGTGTTACCATCCGCGCCCATGGGTCCATTGCCCATAGTCAATACGTAATCCCTCCAGCTTGCACATGTCACCATTGGTGTGCTCTTGGGTCGATATACGCGATATGGCATGCCGAATAGGGTGTATACTCGGACGTAGTTGGCGCTAGTTGTGACTGTAATAAAAGACTCACTCAAGGACATGGCCGTCACAGCTTCGTCCTTGGGTAATTCGATGCGCCAGTCATGTCGTTGCGTCCATGTCTCGTGTGGTCGATAGAATATGACTGCAGGGGCATCATCCTTAGGTGGGCATGAGAAGAGTGTGCCGTGCTCGGCCAAGCAGGCCTTATCGTAGAGGAAGGTATCGCTAAAGTGAAAGTCTCGATGGAGTTCGTGATCGTAGAACTCAACTGTAACAGTGTGGTGGGAGTCCTGATCGACTGTCCAGACAAACCCAATCAGGTTCAGACAAAGGTACTTGCGGTTCCCTCGCCAGGGAGTCGCTCCTGGTTGAAATGCTTCGTGGTATTGCGGCTCAAGCATATGGCGACGCTTACTTGAGGTGCCGTAGACATCATCGCCGTCCCGGGCTCGTTTCTGACCTTGCCCAACAGTGTACCCGGCACCGTCATCATCCTCCACGAAGTCATCATCACCGTATCCATCTCCGCCTTCGAGAAATGAGTCGAGACTTCCAAGTGACTCCCTTCGGGGTCTCGTTGGCAGACCTTGTTGCTTCTGACCGTTGACTTGAGGCGGTCTTCGGTTCGCAGATAACTCGGCAAGGGGGTCGTGAATGAAGGGGGCAGGTTGTGTGGCCAGTTTCAAGAGGGGCGAGAACTGGTCTGTGAGGAAGTCTGGGTAGATGTAGACTTCACCATCGGTGGTCGTGAAGGACGCAATGTTCTTGGTAGGGTGCCACGCAATGTCAATGACATTAGAGTAGTCGTATCTTGCAATGACGGACTGTGTCTTGGTTTCCCAGACGATGACCTTTCCGTCTTTGCTTGCTGACGCCAACAAGGCACCATTGGGCGACCAGGCTATGGCAGTAATGTCAGCCAAATGTCCATTGGCGAAAGTTCTTTGCTTCTCCCAATCATTCTTGGAGATGATCTGGATGTCTTTAACGGGTGTTGGTACGGCAAATGCTCTCCCATCTGGATGCCACGCAACACGTGTTGACGTCTCGCTATCTCCGTCGATAGCACCAATGATACCATCCACCTTTCGAATCAGTTCTGGCTCTTCAGCTGTAAGAGAATATACGTAAACGATTCCATCGGTTCCAGAAAGCGCAACCAATCGCCCTTGAGGATCGAAGCTAACATTTCGTACAGCGCGGGCATGCTCTCGAAGGTGCTTGACCTGTGTGATGTCCTTTGTGTTCACAATCTTGACACTCAACTCATCACTTGCCACAGCGCACCATTTTCGATCACTAGACAATGCAACATCGCGAATTGGCAGGACAGTTCGAGTAAGGAAGCGCTCAAAGGTATGTGTCTCGAGGGAGTATAAACTGACGGTGCCGTCCTCGGATCCAACGATAAAGAATTCGTCACCAGCGGCAACAGCCATGTTCTGTTCCTGACAATCATCGATATTGATCGGTTCTCCATCAGATCCTGTTTTGTAGAGACGAATCGTGTTGTTGGAGCCGACTGTGACGAGACGAGTTCCATCGGGAGTGTAGGCGCAGCGAGTAGTTCCTTGTGTATGGGCGGGCCGAGGCCGTGGTTTAGGGGCGATTGTCGAGTCCATGATCGTCGATGTGAAGTTGTTCTAGTCGTTCAAATCAACGAGCAATGGGATATTTGCTATGATAGGAAGAAGGGCGATCTATGATGGGTGATGGATGGTTGGTTTAGAAGTGGGACAGGCGTTTCTCGGGAGACGCGTCTGAGCGCGTCGCAATTAAAGTCGCGGAAAGACCCCGCGCCGTTACAGGGGATAGCTCCACTAAAATTCAACTCCGACCTAAATCTTAAGATCTCCAACTCTTTTATGGTTGCCTACTAACCTAACCTAGATCAAGAGATAATATCACAAGTTATACTCACGGCAAGCTCAATATCTACCCCAGGGGCTTATATTGTGTCTCAGTACCAGAACCTGTGAATATAACGCATATAAACCTTGATCATCAAAATGCAATCTGCAGACCGTGATCATTTCTTCGAGACAGAGTATGTACAACTGCATCTCCTATTACAAAGCTATAACCAACCAAATCTACAGTGCTGTTCAAGCTTCGCGGCAACGCAAGGCTGCCAAGGCAAGCAACAAGAATGGCGATCCCGTAATCATGAAGTCCAAGATTCTTGCAGCCGTCCCAGACCCTGCTGCACTTCTCACTTCCGTGTTCATTGCTGAGTCTGCTGGAGCGGTTCGCCGAATCAACCTCGAGGTATGTCTGGATACTCTCAAAAAACCACATCTACTTACCATTTATAGACCTTAGAGACCAAAATAACTTACCGTGGACCAAAAGCCCCTGTAACTTGTCTCGCCATAGGAGGTCAAGACAACAGGACAGTTTTTGCAGGTTCGTGGGACAAGGACATCTGGTCATGGGACATTGAGACCGCCAAACCTGGCCGCAAGTTCAGCGGCCATACCGACTTTGTAAAGACCATCATCTGTGCTACCGTCTCAGGCAAGCACATTCTCATCAGCGGAGGTGCCGACAAGAAGATTTTCGTCTGGGACGCAGAGTCAGGCAAACGACTGCATACCCTGCAAGATCCCACCACGACAATGCTTGCCGTCCAGCACCTCGCCATCGATCCTGTACTCAGCGATCCTACCACTGTCGTATTTGCAAGCGCAGGCAGCGACCCGCACATCCGACGGTGGAAGGTCACCCTGGACAGTTACGAGCAGCTGCCCGAATCTTTCTCCGACCGCCCCGATGCTGAGCGACTTACCATCCAGGAACACGAGACCAGCATTTACCGACTTGTCTTTGACCAGATGAGTGAGGATGCAGATCTCTGGACTGCCAGTGCTGACGGAACTGCAAAATGCCTGGCGCGTTCAAGGAACTTTGTCGCTGATGACACGCTCACACACGGGGACTATGTACGAGGTGTTCTCGTAACAGACCAATGGGTCATCACGGCAGGCCGCGATGAGAATGTCAAGGTCTGGGATCGCTCATCTGGTAAACTGTACTGTACATTGGTTGGCCACTACGAAGAAGTCACCGACCTCGTCCTGCTCCAGGACACAGACGGTACCCCTCGCAAGGTTTGTAGTGTTAGTATCGACGGTACTGTCCGCACATGGCCGCTCAGAAAGTCTGAGCTTGACGAGGTTGTTGTCAAGATCCAGAAGGCTGCAGAACCCAAAAAGGAAGAAGAGGAGAAAGGTGGCAATGTGATGACGGCCGAGGAAGAAGCTGAGCTCGCAGAACTCATGGACGACTAGACCAACTCAGCAAAATAGCAAGACTGACATGACTTTCCCCCCTTTCAGAATAGTTGGGCTCTGACCGTCTTTCTCACGGCCATTCTGGTGTTGCTCGAGCCCCTGAAACACTTGCCATGAGTTGCGTACCGTGCCACAAAATTTCAGCTCGACTTTGTCTGCGGAACATACGACGGAAAGCCGCATCCAAGCCGTGTAACCGTAGGTCTCAACTCGCTGTTCCGAACCACGACAACCTGGATCGTGCTTAAGACTCTGTGTGCAAGTGCCCTCAGACAGTGGCCTGTATCGGCGGCACCTCTCCTTTTCCATGCGCAGAGACAAACACAAAAAGCAACCTTGTATGCCGCCTTGTATTCATTTACAAAGGCTTAATGCTGATAGCCAACCAGAAGCACCATGACTACACCAAAGAGGAATATGTCTCATGGCTCTGACGTGTTGGCCACTAATTCCTTGAACTGGGATACAACGATCTGTCGAGAAAAAGGAATTATTTCCAAGTAACAGGGACACGGCAAGTGATAGATTCCATTATCACAAATGACAGGATCTGATCCCCGGCGCATCACAGGCTCGTCACGTTTTAATTATCCGTGGTACTTGCTTTTGATTCAGCCGCAAAGCGCTGGCCATAACAAACAGCACCGATACTTTGTTTTCTAGCAATTGTCTGCCGGCGTTGCAGGGTCCATCCTGCAGGAGAGATGCAAATATAGCTTTGCCTAAACCCATAAAGCGCTGGTAATGCTGAAAACGGCCGAAAACATAGAACACCTGCTTTACGCACTGATGTTGTTTTGTTCAAACGCAACACAGAGGATAGACGGGTGTATCAAGCATTTACTGATGCAATCAGCTAAGCTGGTGTTAGGGATTGTTGCCGGACTTGAACTCGAAATTTCGTCCTGTGAAACCGTGAAGTTGCACAACTCATTAAACGAACTTGATTCCCGTTTTGAGCTTCGAAGTTCTCGTGGCTTACACAAGCAACTTTAACTTGAAAGTTTACCACAAGCCACAAGCCTGAGGGTTGTCAACAGTAATGGCTCCCAGCTGGTCAATGAAGATCTTTTCCAGATCTTCAATGTCACCGTACCATTCATTCTAGCTGATCTACTCAGCTTCCTTCATGCACTGTAAATCCAACGCCCGATCTCTATCGGTCAAGGCTGGCCCCCTTGCTCACGAGCGTGCCATATTCAAGCATCCTGGCCATTCCCCAAGATTGCAAATTTGTTAAGCTTGCGTATGGAGTACGCTGTCCATTTTCCGCCTCGTTAGCATCCCGGACCCTATTCAGTGACAATTGTGTTCCTAAGTGGATCTGAGTATCCATGTTAGTTCATAGAATTCATAAAAACATACCTAATCGATATGTGCTGTGTTATATTTTTCGGGGAAAGGGAAAGACGCCCTCTTCTTACCCGTATCGGCGTCATTTGTGAGTGATCATTGTCAAAACGAGTATAAGCCATGTCTGGGCAGATTTGCCGTAGATGAGAAAAGTTAGTATGCTGAATTGAAACAATAGCCATAAGCCACAGGCACCGCACGCGTTATGACGATGCCTGCCAAACTTCGATCTGGTCAGACATGCAGGCCCCTAGTCCAAACAGTCGGAGCCCATTGCTCTCTACCAGCGCGTACTGCATGAGCAGCACCAGTTCGCAGTATGCTTGGTGTCTGCAGGATCGTAAGGCGCTGCTGCAAGGCGGGCTCACACTCCCAATCGTCCCTCTGACAGTCACAAAACGATCGTTGTTCGGTCCGTTCGAAAATGGTCCAAGGAGGATCGATAACTAGTATTGCTCTTTCCAAAGCTATCATCAAGTGCTTACCAAAGTCGTTTCCTTTGTCTTCCTGGGACTTGGCAAGTCACACTAGGTAGCAAGCAAACAACGGGAGGTGGGGGGTCAAATAGCCGCGCGGTGCGAAGCGTCTCGAGGTCTATGTCAATGCTACCCTTGTCGAAAGGATCTAGTGAGATCGCGAGACATATGACTGATTCAGACATCAGCACGACGCTAAAAGTCTGTTCGATAGTTGCGGCCACCTACTGCGTCTCGTATCGACTATCACGGATGGCGCTGAGCAACATCTGTATACGGCAAATGAGGTAATTATCAAGACCCTAGATTCAAAGCTCAACCGCCCCGTTTTGCATGCTGATCAGCATTGTGAATTTGGGCCAACGATCGCCATTTGAGCATTTCGGATTTTCGGAAGATGATGGCCAAAATAGAATTTGAAACCCGTTAATTGACGTGGGGGGGATCGATGGTGTTGAAGAGCCCACTTTGCCAGAAGCTATCCACAAGGCTTGAGCATACAAGTAGGTACTACTATGTTTGCATTTCCTTACCTTGCTTTCCCTTTTCCATTGATTAGTTCAAGATTGAGTCGAAGCCCTTGTGGTAATTGAAATACCAGCAAACACTGCAATGACCCCCCTTACCGTGCAACGCTTGACAAATAGGATTCGAGCCGGCAGCTTCCTCGCCCTGTATGGTGTGTAGCCGTAATCAAAGGCCAGCTCAAGCCGACTGGCTTGGGAGTTTTGGGTGGAAGCCGAAGATGAGCTGGCTGGTATGACATGAGAGGCTGCAATTCGCTCAGTGTCCAATGCCAACTACATAGAACGTGCAACAGCTATTTCCGGTTTCTGTGTTTCATGTTTTAGCTCAGTGTTTCCTTTTTTGGGCTTGAATCTTAAGAGGAATCGGGTAATAACAACCGAATAGATGATAATGGCTATTGGCGATATGATATGTTATATTGTGCATGACCGAATCGCGACCGAAATCCATACTTGAGTTGAAGACATCATAAAGGGATAATGCGTCTCAGCTGAGCCTAGACCAGATCCTGGATCATGGAATATCCTTGACGGGAGCCCTTGCATTGTGGGACTGGGCCGTGAGCTGCAACATGGAACATGGGACATGGGTGCTGTCAATCCCTGTAATTTGAGCAAACAGTTTCTCTGCCCCAGACGCACGACACGCAAGGACCTCGCTACATTGTGTATTGCAATTGGTGTTTGTGCTTGTGCTACGTATGCTGAGTGGTCTCACTGCATACTTGGCAAATGCGTTGGAGGTAAGGGAGAATTACTGCAGGTGCCCGATAGCTTGGTTCCAAGTTGCGAGTAGGCCAGTCCCGTCACAGTCAGCCTGATAACCCAGCCGGTTGGGACAGGATAGGCACTCCAACAGCACGGAAATGGATATCGATGTCGACCTCGAAGCTTGGACCTCCCATCCAGTTCATATCGGCATTGTTCTGTTTGGCTCCAGCTCAGGAGGCTAAACAAGCCCAAATACAACCCTGCAGTGACGAGTGATTAACTGGCGGGATGGATCTCGGTGTCTCTATGCTGTTCGTTCATCGGGGCTCCTTCGTGGATGTATGGAGACCCAACAGATTCTCAGTAAATCGCTAGAGTGGCTTGCTTTTCTGCTGCGGTAGCCCGATTCTTGCAGGGTTCAACAACAACCTGAAATCCTGGGCCTTGTATGGAGACTGATGAACGAGTTGAAGTGGAATTAGAGGAGTCGGCATCCGTTGGCAGTGGAGAAGAACGGGCGACCTGACCTGCAGCTTCTATAGAGCATGCACCACTTGCACCACCTGCGCCTGCCTCGAATTAGATATTAGTCGTAGTTGCCTCCGACTCTCAGGTCGTTCTTTCCAGTTTACATCTCGATGGCACTTGCCTCAAAGTCCCTACTCCTCCTCTTCCATCTCTTGCCTTTTGTGAACGAGCATTCTTTTCTTCACCCTCTCTCCTCCCCAGGCCGGGATCTTTAATTACATTCATCACGTCTCATATCTGAGCGCATTTTATCATTCAACTTGAGAAATACCCTTGTAAGATCAATTCTTTATCCATTCTGATGTCGACCTCACTAATCATCGGATAGAGTTTCTTATGTGTAATTCGGCGTGTTTCATACCAAAAGTTTCTCGGCTGCTCCCTTTCACACCCTCGAACGGACCAAGCATTCCATCAGCACAATCCCTTACTTTATTTCGACCTCTCCCGTTTACTATTCCTTTTTTCTACTAGAGTCGTCCGAATCAGTGGCGCCTCGAGAATTCATCATGTCTACCGACAATAAACTCCTTGGGAGCGTCGTTGCCTTTGAAGGCCATGTAGACACGATATCAACACAACTACGACTGCTTCCAACTTCACCACATATTCTGATACTTCCCAGCATTCAAAATTATATCTCCAATAGGGACTTGGAAAACCGTTCAGACATTCGAGTTTATGCCAAGAAAATACACGAGGCCACAGTAGCTCGTTACGAGGCTGCTCAAGCTTTCCTTCATGGTTCAACAGCAAGTGGAAGGCGACTCGTGTTTATGAACGGCGGGACCCCGAGTGCCCGAACACTCTGCATCAGAGCCATCATGGACTACGAAACAGATGGGGACTACTACCGTGCCGAGTCGCTATTCAATCAGCTAGTCAAGGATGGAGTGGTGGGCCTGGACAATCCAGTTAGAGACTGGAGAAAGCAGGACATGTATCAACCAAAGGATCAAGGGGACCAAGAACAGGAGTTCGAAGATCCCATATCACGAGCTATGCGAGCTGCCGACGCCTTGGACCGACAAACAGCATCACTTCAACCCTCCAATGAACTCGATTTGACCCTCACGCCCCGTCCGCGAAGTAACAGCTTGCCGCTCTACGGCTATGAGGACAACTTCGGAGATGATGCCCCATTCTTTGTTTTTGGTGCCGCGAATAAAGATGAAGGTGGGAGTACAGCTGGTGATCCTCCGGGCTGCTCTTACTCACCCCAAGCTTGCAGGTTTTCTGCGAGGCATTATGACAGATCTGCAGGTCGCATTTATCATGATATTTCCCATCTACAGTCTCCTTCACCCAGGGCTTCTTTCCTTACATCTCCGAGCTGCATTGGCGAAGCCTACGGCTTGATAGCTGCCCCTGTATCCCCTGCCCTCGAAGGCTTGAGCCCAAGATCCGACGTTTTGAGCATCCCGTCTACAGATAATGTCGTGTACGGGGAAGCTTCATTAGTGGACATGAGGTCTCCAGGCCGCAGCCCAACTCTGTCTCGAGTCAAGTCTCTGGACAGAATCTACCCGGCCAGTCCCAGGTATCGGGATCTCTGTGTTTCTGCAGCCACTTCAGGATTTGCACGGCAACAAGAGAGTGATCCGGAGCCAGAATTGTTGAAAGCCCATCAGCATCCACAATCGATAATCACAAGCCCCAAGGAGCTCGTTTCCAAAAGACGCAGCTACACGGAGGGACCCCGAACTGTTATTGTGAGAACCAATCTCCCGATCATCAAAGTGGCCCCGGTTCCCTTGGAGAAGAAGCGAAAGCCTGCACGGGCATCGTACGTGGATAGAGGCACTGATGCCGAGCACATTTCTGGACCAAAGGAGACATTCCAGCCTGTACTGCCCTTCATGGAAGACCTGGTGGTGCACTTGAGGGAGGAGGTCCCCGAACCTTTGCTCAATTCTGTCACCCATGGGCTTAGAATGGGCCAATTTCCCGTGGCTATTTATTCACCTACTTCCGAAACAGACGAGGGCAATGCTCTGGTTCCAGGAACACCTGAGTCGAACACTATCACAGACGTAAGCTGCGCAGAAAGCCCATACGAGGAGTCAGCTGTCACCGATCAATCTATCTTTTCTGACGAATATGATCCGTTCGCATATAATCAGTCCGTCTGGCCCAACAAGAAGCCTGTCCCAAGTGTGCCCAAGCTCAAGGTTGCACGACCTCCGACACCAGTTCGGACTCCTCCACCCCTGGTTTCGGATGTCGACAGCAAGTTTCACGACCTTCGAATCAATAGTCAAGAAACAGCCATCACTGTACAGAACTCAGTGCGTTCTGTCCTCCAGGAGCACTTCCCCCCAGAAACTCAAGGCTACCGGCAGTTCCAGTTTTCCCTTTTGCCAGAACTTGAAGGATTATGGAACCCAGTCTTTTGGGAGACTGGGAGTAACAATAGCCATGGACCTTGCCATAGAATCGACCAGATCCTAGCTATTGGAGCCCAGAGAGGTGTGAAGAGGGACTATACTTGCACCATCACAGGACAGCTTGAGAAGCTAGGAACAAAATGCAACGGCATGAGTCGAAGTGGCCGGCTGGACTTCAGGTATGTACTAGACTCTGCTCCATTTTGTACTGCCTAAAACTCACACTAGACAGGTACCTTCTTGCCAATGCCATGCAAGCGTATACGGCCCAGCCTTTGGCCACTCAGGCCAAAGACAACCCTTTTGCGAATTCGTTCCTACTCGCGACTCTCATAATTCCACACCTCGAAACGTATCTCGCCCTTCACACAGAGGTGAGGTATCTTCTCCTTGAATACCCGCCTGAGCATCTTGCGACGGTGCTGGCTCTTCAAAAGCTTGTTGGAGTAGAGTTGATGAAGGTGGCTCAGATTGTTGATGCTGGCAGCAAGAGCATTCCCTTCACTCATTTACGTGGAAACTCCATCACCGGCCCAGAACAAGGGCCTGTTGGGCGCTACGGGAAGACTTTCCCACAAAACTCGGGCTCTGGCTATGACGTTACGGTTTCTGAGGCCAACTTCCTCATCACGTCAACTGCAACTGATGCAGAAATCGCAACTTTTACTGCGACCATCTCCAGGATTCTGTCCAAGACTTCTGATTTCTATGTCCCTCAAGAGCCCCCCAAGAAGCAGTCCCCAAAGAAGTCCAAGCCGCCATCTATCACAGGAACATTCTCGCCTTTCCCACGTGTGCCATCGGCGACTCATAGCCCGCCCATGTCCCCGGCGCTTGGGGCGTCTTTGGGAGCGGCACTATCAGGGTCATCTGCGGTTCCGAGTCGAGCCCCTTCCATCGCTGAAACAGTCAAGACAGCAAAGTCTTCCAGAAGCAAGCCAAGCCGATCATATTCAAAGCGAAACCCTTCCGCGATTGATGCTCGATCGATCTTGACTATGTATGTCGATGACAGCGACTGGGATCAAGAAGATCGACGGGTTATGCCGCTCCTCGAGGATAAGGCCGAGAGGCGAAAAGGCAATTCTCATAAGGCACTGAAGTTTCTCGGCCTGTCATGATTTCAGAAAGAACGAATACTAATCGCCATGCGAAAAATATGGCTGTAATGATGTTATGATTTCGCCCAAAGTGGCATTTTTCTTTTGTTGATATTTTAGGGGTGAGGATTTACAATGATGGCCAGGGAGGTCGGGAAAGGATAAAAGTCATGATGCTGTTGTTAATAGAGTAATGTTTGCCAACCTTTTAGTCCATCTACGGTCTGGGGATGGGACTTAAGAAGTTATGGGATGTAATAATAATTGCAGATTATCTTTACGTAAAGGCTTCGGATCCGAAGTGGTTTGTAATTATACTTAGACATTACTGTTGTCCTCATTGCTCAGTCTGCCTTGTCCAAGGCTACCATCAACATCTACACCTGCTTTTCTCTGTGCCTTGATCTCTTCTCTGGCCTCGGCCTGCTCAGCCTTTTTTCTAGCATGTTGTTAGCTTCCGTATACTGAACGAGCTACATATTGAGACGAACCTTTCAATATCAGAGGCATAGTCCTCGATCTTGATATCATCCTTGCGTGGCTTATCCCTGGTACTCGTTCCCTTTACTGCATCGGCGACTTTGCCTTCTGCGAGGGTAGCTAGTTGCTCTGCGTTCTCATTGTCGTTTTGGAGGGGAGCTTCGGACTGCTTTGACACTTGACTTTCGACGCTGGCCATTTTGAAGGATTGTGAAAGAACTGAGATGGGTATTGAGGATGGTGGCTTTATTCTGTGAAGATATATTGGCGGGAGAGAGTTGCTGTGAATGAAATTGTTATGTTGAAAGAGTGCCTTGAGAATGACATCAGGCTGAGAGTGGTTGATCTATGACGTATATCATCGATGAGGAAGATCTTCGTGCATGAAGCGTGTGTAGCGTGGATTAAGCATCTGAGCTTTATCTTTGTGTCTTACATAAAGTGTTTACACAATGTCTTGAACCTTTTGCTTAAGTTGTATAATGGTTAAAGTTGGTGTGAAAGAGCTGTGCTTGAGTTGTCTGATGCGTGAGCTATGTTGTAACCAGTTGATTGCGACCAAGGACTTTAGATGGACATTTCAGAACGTGTTTGTGATATCTACGAGATGCATCACAGAGCCTTGGCTATAAGTTCGTTCTGTGCAATAACTTCACTTTGGCCGAGGCAATCTCTCTTCATCAAGGAGACATTTTACGGCGTCAACATCATGACTTGGGATATGAAGCCATATGAGTAAGGAACTCCAACCATATTCATCATAGATCAAGGTTTTGAAAAAAGGAATATTCCACCTTTATTAAGAATAACCCTTTCTCGCATACTAAAATCGATCTCAAGTACCTAACAACGAAAAAACCATAGGCGAACCAGGATGGTAAGATAGAAGAAACAACATAACAACTGATATCAGAACCCAAGCAAGATATTGACGATTAGCGCAACTCTTCTCCACAGCTCTCAAGGAGTCAAGAAGTTGCGGAGAACAGAGGGTCAGGATCGCGAATTGCCAGAGGAAAACGGGGTGCGCAGATAATGTGATTCCCAGCGAATGGCCTGGTTGGCGGGTTGAAAAGAACAAGAACCGACGAATGCCTCCCAATACTTGAATTTCGCAAAAGTGCAAAGACACAGCATGGGGGGAATAAGAGAAAATACAGCCTGCGCACGCGCAAAACCCTTCCAAAGCCATCCGCTACCAGAAACACAAAATCTGCCTTCGTATCTGTCGCCTTCCCTTATGCTCCCTCCCCAGAACCAATCGATTCCCCGCCCAGACCATTCCTACCGTCAACATAGCAATGGCATGACCCGCGAATGACGTTAAGACGAATGGAAGGAGCCGTGATTCCAGATGCCGAGGCGGTAAAAGGATCAAGTGGTGACTTGAGGAAAAGAAAGGCAATCCAAGTGGTCATAATCTGGTCTATGCGCAGAAATGGAGTGAGTGAAAGGAAAAAGCAAATATCGTGAGTGAACTCGTCCGATCGTGACCCTGGCATGTTGTTCATTGTCCCGGCCGTACTCCATCATCCTGCTTCGCCAAGAGAAAGGAGAGCGTTAAAGCATTTAGCAGCAGCTGTTGTTGGAGGAAGATCCAACGCCCTGGCCTTGGCCGACTTGCACGCTGGGCTTGGTGTTGTTAGCTGTTGTGGTGCCCATGCGCTCCTTGATCTGGCGGGCCATGGTCAGGAAAGCCTGCTCGACGTTGCTGGCGTTCTTGGCGGAAGTCTCAAGGAAAGGAATTCCCAGGCTGTCGGCGAATTCCTACAAGTTTATGTCAGTCATCGTGTTGCTATGGGTGGTTGTCGTAGCCGAGGGTGAAATTTTGGTGACAGGGGCATTTGAGCGTTCAGGCGCTTAGATGCATGTGATGGGCGACCCGCTAGGCTGCGATATTCAGAGTACCAGAATAAGAAAAAAAAACCTACCTTGGCTACGCTGTACTCAACGACCTTCTTGTCTGACATATCGCTCTTGTTACCGACCAGCAGCTTGTTGACACCCTCGGTGGCATATCGGTCAATCTCCTGGAGCCATTGCTTGACGTTGTTGAATGAGTCCATGTCGGTAACATCGTAGACGACGCAGATGCCGTGGGCACCACGGTAGTAGGAAGAGGTGATGGTGCGGAAACGCTCTTGACCGGCGGTATCCCACTTGAGGACAGATTAGCATTTGGTTAGGTGGCCGGAGCCTGCGCGGAGGTGTCACATACGATCTGAAGCTTGACGGTCTTGCCATCGAGCTCTATTGTTCGGATTTTCTGAGCAAGTGTTAGACGATAGGCCAGGTAAGCGGAAATGCTGGCTGGGTACAACGCACAAAATCGACACCGATGGTAGAGATGTAGGACTCGGTGTAGGTGTCATCGGCGAATCGCAGGAGAAGACAAGACTTTCCAACACCGGAGTCTCCGATGAGGAGGAGCTTGAAGAGATAGTCGTATCTAGTTGGTGTCAGATCCAAAAATAATCAAGGAGTCGCATCTCGACAGCGGCAGCAAAAGGAAATCGCATGAGGTTTAGTCGAGGATGCCAGGGTGCAACTCTGAAGCAATAGTCAGCATGGGGCATAGTTCCATCAGGAGGTTATCGCAAAGGAGGCGGAGAGTGGCGTACTACTCAGGGTTCATGTTGGCGGTTATTCCTTGGTTCACAGTAAGACAAGAGTCCGATGCGAAGAGTGAAGGGGTGAGGCTGGAAAGACGAACTTGTCGAGGCGATGGAATGAGGAGTTGGAGATGAGTTGATGGGAGAGAAAGATTAAGTTGAGAATGGTTGCAGAGGCTCAAGTAAGGTACGTCAGGGAAGAAACGTAACGCCAGGCAACGCCAGCACCGCCTACCTAGGAGAGGGAGGGAATGATGGGGCAGCTGACAGACGTGGATCACGTGATGCTGTCAAAGAGAACAAAGAGTTACAATGAAAGTCAGTCAATGTGATACTGAGTTAACGGGTAAAGGCAGAGCATGTGCAGCAAATAAGAAACGGATGAGACGAGAGGGTACGTCACAAGCGAGGTTTATTCGTTGATTTAATTTTCCTTGCAAGGGTAATCTACAGGATATTGCTTGTTCTCATGCAATATACTTCGAGATATCACGGGGCGGTTTACCGATATAACACTATCGCTTGCGATTGCGATAGCACCCAACCAAGTTGCCGTAGACTTTCCCAAAACGGATCATCTTCCAATAGCAAAAGAAGAGCAAGCATCGTGCGTGCATATTTTACAAACAACGTCGGAATGAGAGATGCATCATTACTTTGAGGGTCTGCCTGCTTTGCTCCGTTGTCGGGCATGCACTGTAGGCGTCCGTTCATTCTTTAACATCTCATCATGAGGCTGCTGATGAGCCAAACTTGGAGCCTGTGCCTTCATTCACACGATTCAAGTGACTTGGCATGTCACAAGTTGATATACTAGATCAACTTCACCGCCTTCTGCTTTAAGAGTGACAAAGACGGCATCTATTCACGATTGCAAACAGATGATCTCCAAGAAATACCAGATAACGCCTTATCAGTGGACCCTGCTGCCATTCAAGCCTCAATTCTCCCGTTTTCTCCAGATTCCCATCTTGTTCTCTCCCACTCAAAAGATCCCATCACAAGTGGAAAAGACCCGCCCCGCCACATCCCGCTCCGCTGTCAATTTGTGGCTGTGGAGTATCAGTCATCAACCAATCAAGTCTACCATTTCACAATCATGTCACTTCCCTACACTTGACTGCTGCTAGATACTTCCGAGTCTACCCATTAAGCCATCGCAGAAAAAGTCCAAAAGTGGACATACCTTGAGGTTCCCTACCATCCAGGCTACTAGAGGTATCAGCAACACCTCATTATTACCAAGTCACCTTGGTTCTGTATTATTCTAGACCCTCTTTAACAAAGTCACCCTTGGCTTCTTCTATCAAATTTCACTGTTGATCCATGAATCTCTCCATTCTGCTGCGGTGACCTCCCAATGGCCGCGCCCATCCGATCCAGTCTAAGCCGTTCCGGCCGGACCTCTGTTGCCTCTATTCGCAGTCTCTCCAACGCTCGCCCGGCAAAGGCACAGGTTCAGCCCGTCACTGTTAGAGAATCTAAACCTTCCCTACCGCCTACCGATGCCACTCTTCTCGAGGACTACGTCAGGCGAGGCGCACTGTCGAGAACATATTTCGATGCGACAGGCGTGCGATGGGTCGGATCTGGCGATGACGGACCAAAGGACCCCAATAAGGCAAAGCTAGGAAAAAGTACGTCACTGAGGATATCCCCAATGTTTGTATCACAATGCTAACTTTCTATAGCTCTGCGAGTTTTACAAGAACGATTACCAACGCTTTTACTACATCCTCTTCCTCACGACATTCTTGCGCCAAACATCGCCCTCCATCTTTTCCCCTCGACGCACCCTCACCTACCAACCGTCTCCGGCCGTGTCGCCTATAACGCCGCCCTCTGGACCTCCCCAATAGCATGGAACCGCGTCCCCATTCTCGGCAATGTCTGTATCGAGGTTCTCGCGGAGCGCATGACGACGGAGCCCCTCACATTCTTACCCCGCCGTGCTGGGGCGATACCCGAGCAGCTCGTCGTCCGCTGGTGCGAGAAGCGAAAGGGTTCAGATAGTTCTTCTGACAAAGGAGTGATTGCCCGGTCTCTACCATTTGGTCGGGGAGTCGACCCAGACAAGGCATTCACGGGACTGTTTGTCTTCGACTTCGATGCCGAGGGTCGGATTCTAAGCCATACCATTGAGCAGGCACAAGCTGGTGGCGATTGGGAAGCTGGAGTCGGTGCAAAGGTTGTTGGTCTGACTGACTGGCTCCTCGGGGGTTGCAAGAACCCCGGCACTCCTATACCAATGTTCGAGCGAGTGCGAAGACGACGATCCATCTAAAGACTCACTGTAGGGGTGGACAGTGATGATATGGCCCCAAGGGGCGTGTTCGCTTAGAAAACGAGAGCGGTTTATGGAATGATATGGCATCATGAGAGGCGTTTCTGGTTGCATCTTATCATCGCCAGCGACTTCATGCTGGTTCGGGTCGCGGGGTCTTCGTGTATAAGACAGTGTATAACAATGAGCCATGAGACTCCACACACATTCAGACTTTGTATAGCTTTGTAAATTAGTAACTAAAACTCATTCTTAGACGATACTATGCCTTCAAAAATTCTTGTCACTAGTTGTCTCTACTCA